GTATGCTTTGTTTTTATTTTTACTCCCATCAGTTTAAAGACAAACTTGTATTCTTTTCTCTATCCCCATTTTCCCACTTTTTGAATAGCAAAACAAACAGTCTAACCTACTTTCTATCTTTTCAATGTTGATTGGTCTGATGATCACTTCCTAAGTCACCCAGGGATAAATTAGAAATAAATAGGTGTAAGACCAGGGGCCAGGCGCAGTGGTTTATGCCTGTAATCCCAGCACTTTCAGAGGGTGAGGCGGGCGATCACTTGAGGTCAAGAGTTTGAGACCAGCCTGACCAACATGGTAAAACCCTGTCTCTACTAAAAAATACAAAAATTAGCTAGGCGTGGTGGCAGCCATCTGTAATCCCAGCTACTTGGGAGGCTGAGACAAGAGAATCACCTGAACCTAGGAGGCGGAGGTTGCAGTGAGCTGAGATCGTGCCACTGCATACCAGCCTAGGTGATAAAGTTAGACTCTGTCTCAAAAAAAAAGGGAAAAAAAATAAAAAGATTAGAAAACATGCAAAGTAATTGCAGTCTAAATCAGAGTAAGGTTAGTTTTATATATGTAATCTTTGCTCTCAGACCCCCTGGTTTCTTTTTAATGTACTTAACTAATCTTTTACATTTTTCTGATTGCACACAGGTCTGCAATTAAGGCCTTACGTCCTGGAGGGATACTTGTATACTCTACATGCACACTTTCCAAGGCAGAAAATCAAGATGTGATCAGTGAAATTTTAAACTCCCACAGTAACATGATGCCTGTAGACATTAAAGCAATAGCAAGGACTTGCTCGCAAGACTTCACATTTGCTCCCACTGGCCAGGAATGTGGGATCTTAGTGATTCCAGATAAGGGCAAAGCCTGGGGCCCAATGTATGTAGCCAAATTGAAGAAATCATGGATCACAGGAAAATGGTGACACGAATTTGTAAACCATGTTTATGTGTTATTGTATTTATTTTTCTGAATTCGGTACATGTTAATATTTAAATAATTATGCAGTTACTTTTTCTGGGTCTGTGTGGAATCCTGTTTAGTTAATACTTTAGCATCTTAGAATCTAGGCTTGAGAATTGTTCCGGTGTATTTTTTTTCCTAGAAATATATCTGTAGCAGTGATTTAAGGTGGTGCAGATGGCGTCTGTTCTATATAATCTGCTGTCTTTGCTTGGCATTTTATAGTTAAATTGATCAGAATATGTGGTTTTATGCATAACATGTTTAGAACTGTATTTTCTATCTATGATAGTGCTTTTAACCTTTGAAAATGTGCATTTGTGGTGCTCTGACCATATCCCCCCGTATCAAATGTATGGATTTATTCAGGTTTTTCCCCTCCCCCCCACTTTTGTAACTGATTGTCTCACAACTGATTGGTATTTGGAGACTAACTTTTTAAGTAGCACTATTTCTTGTTCTAGCAAAATAGGTTTTTTATTTGCAAAGTTGTTTTCTGTTAAAGATTATCTTCTGTTTACTGCAAAGGTCAGTGACTCTTTTGACACCAACTTTATTTCCCCCACTTTTTTTTTTTGTATTCACAAATACAAATTGAAAGGGCAAATTATGTTGAAAGGCCTTTAGAACAGAAGATTCAGATGCACATGTTTGACTTTTGACATTCAGCTTATAGAATTATGGAGTCTATCCAGCAGGCCATAAAGCAAGTACTGGAGACAAAACCACAATGATTAATAACTGCAATAACTGAACTATATTTGGAGAGCTTTGTTACATAATTGCAGTCATAATGAGCACTACAAAATCTGATTATCTTACAGTCACAATCTAGAGGGGCTTTTTATTTCACTTTGTTATAAAATGTTCTGTGAGAATATGATGTCACATATTAATGCACAAGAGGGAGATGCCTAATGAGAGTGGATTATGTGATTACCAGAACTGAATGCCATTTACTAAGTGGCTCTCTATGTTTACACATATCCTGGGAATACTGTATACATTTCTTTATATGTACTTAGGGTTTTAGCTTCAGTTAGGATCACACGTTCTCTCCAGAAATTACTTCACTTAGAGTCCAAACATATTTTTCCAACTGTTAAGAAAAATTATGCAGCACATCTCAAAAGATTGCATCTCTTTGGAAACTAGCCTTTTTTAAAAAAAAAAAAAAAAACAACTTTATCTGATTATAGAAATACAAATTCTGCTAAAGCTGAATACTTTTGAATTGTTCATTATATTCTGTGCATTTAAACTGGAGACTATTTGCTTATTAATATCTTTTGTTTGGCAAGCGTATGTAACCAGGTTCATATCATCAGGAAGTTTCAGGAAATTTTTTTTTTTTCTGTACCTTCGGCCTGTTAATTATTTGTTTTCCTTTATGTGCAACTGATATGTTTAAAGTAAAGCTAGAGGCCGGGCGAGGTGGCTCATGCCTGTAATCCCAGCACTTTGGCAGGCTGAGGCAGGCGGATGTCCTGAGGTCAGAAGTTTGAGACCAGCCTGACCAACCTGGTAAAACCCTGACTCTACTAAAAATACAAAAAAAATAATCAGGTGTGGTGGCAGGCACCTGTAATCCCAGTTACTTGGGAGGCTGAGGCAGGAGAATCACTTGAATGTGGGAGGCCAGAGGTTTCAGTGAGCCTAGTTTTCGCCATTGCACTCTAGCCTGGGTGACATTTATTCTGTACCAAAAATAAATAAATAAAATTAAATAAAAGTAAAGCTAGAACTCTTGGACCAAATCAAGTATGTTGGGTTAATATGGAAGAACAATGATGGTGGAAAAGATCTTTTCTTTTTTAAGTTGTCATTATTTGTTTGTTTCAGACACCATAGGTTTTAAAATTAGGCTTTTGTTGTGTAGATTAATCACAGAGTAAATTTGCACATGGTACTTTGTTGAATGTCATTATTTTCCCAGTAAAATGCGATGAACCTTAATCTGAATATTTGGTGTACTATTGAATTATACTGTCCTGTGATTACTGAAAAATACATGCATGTGTGTTTGCGTGTGTGTGTGTGTGTATAATTTTATTATTAAAAATAATTGCACCAAAACCAAACATGGACAAGTGGGACGTGTGTGTGTGTGTGTGTGTGTGTGTGTGTGTGTGTGTGTGTGTGTTAAAAGCAATTGCACCAAAACCAAAAATGGGCAAGTGGGACCTAATTAAATTAAAGAGCTTCTGCACAGCAAAATCAACTATCAACAGAGTAATGGACAACTTACAGGATGGGAGAAATATTTGCAAATTATGCATCTACCGAAGGTCTAATTTCCAGAATCCATAAGAAAGTTAAATCAGCAGGCAAAAAACAAATAACCCTATTAAAAAAAGGGCAAAGGACATGAACAGACATTTCTCAAAAGAAGGCATACAAATGGCCAACAAACATATGAAAAAATGTTCTTCATCACTAATCATCAGAGAAATTCAAATCCAAACTACACTGAGATAATGTTTAACAGCAATCAGAATGGCTATTATTAAAAAGTCAATAAAATAAAAAATAACAGATGCTGCTGAGGCTGTGGAGAAGAGGAACTGCTTATACATACTGTTGGTAGAAATGTAAATTACTTCAGCTTCTGTGGAAAGCAGTTTGGAGCTTTCTCAAAGAACTTAAAACAGAATTGCCATTTGACCCAGCAATCCCACTAGGGGTATACACCCACAGGAAAATAAGTCGTCCTACAAAAAAAGACATACACTCACGTGTTCATCACAGTAATATTCACAATAGCAGAGATATGGAATCAAACTAAGTACCCATCAACAGTGGATTAAATAAGGAAAATGTGGTACATATACCTTGTGGAATATTACACAGTGATTAAAAAAAGAATGAAATCATGTCCTTTTGTGACAACCTGGATGCAGCTGGAGGCTTTTATCTTAAGCAAATTAATGCAGGGGCAGAAAACTAAATATTAATACATGTTCTCACTTATAAGTGGGAGCTAAACATCAAGAACTCATGGACATAAAGAAGGGAACAACAGATGCTGGTGACTACTAGAGCACGGAGGGAGGATGGGGGTGTGGGCTGGAAAACTACCTTTTGGGTACTGTGGTCACTACCTGGGTGACAGGATCATCTGTATCCCAAACCTCAGCATCATCCGTTCTAGCCATGGGACACACCTGTTCATATATCCCCTGAATCTAAAAAGTTGAAATTACTATTTTTTAAATGAGAGGATAAAAAACCCTAATAATTATGATGAAATGGTAATATGTATTGAGCATTGAATATTTTTTATGTATGTTGTCTTTATTGTTGTTTAAAACAAATCCAGCCATAAGTATTGTAACCCCCTTTTGTGGATGAGAAAACGGAAGCTCAGCTCTGTTTGTGGTTTGCCAAGGCTACACTGCTAAGTAATGGGTACAGCCCATGTATAGACAGACTGTATGGATATTTAAAGTGGGGGTGAGGGCCAAGGAGCTATGAAGTGGGGGTGAGGGCCAAGGAGGTATTACTGCTGTTTGGAAATACTGGCCTCTTGTAGATCCAGCCTTAATGTTTTTCTGACATCTTAGTACTACCAGACCCTGCGCAAAGTGCATATCAGAGTTAACACTGTGAGGAGACAAAATAATGAGAATAGTTTTACCAAAGATAATGAAGTCTTGCATAATGTCTGCATTTCACCATTGATTAGAATGCATCCTTAGAAAATTGAAGGTAACAAAAACCCAGGACATTTCTGGAAATTGTATGCTCTCTAGCAACTTTGTGTGAATTTTTATACAAATGCTGTTTTGAGTTATAGAAAATGTTCTAAAAATAGAAAAAACATGGTATTGTAACATGTTATTTTCTTGGAGCACTGATCTCTCAGAACATGTCTTTCTGCATGGCCTCCTCACCCCTATCCCAGGGGAGAAGGAGAATGTTCCTGGGCATTTCAGCCCCTGGGGCTTCTACACTCGGTATCAGGGGTGCAGCTCCCAGGATTTCAGTTTAGCCACAGCTGAATGAATGAGAAGTTACCAAATAAATCTTCCAAACCCAGGAAGTGGTTTTATTCAGAAACCACTTCCTGGCCATGCAGTGGGGCTCTCGTTTGACCTTTGTTAACCTTTCTTGGTCAGGTCCCAGGCCAGTCCTGCAAAGACAGCAGAGCTTCATTTTCATTTAAGCCTTTTTTTTTCACTTTGGATCAAATGGAATTTAGTTCCTTCCCCTGTTGCCAACCTGGCTGGAGTGCAGAGGTGCAATCATGGCTCGCTGCAGCCTCAACTTTTTGGGCTCAAGTGATTTTTTTGCATCAGCCTCCTAAGAAGTGTGGACTACAGGTCCACACTACCATGCCTGGCTAATTTTATTATTATTATTCCTGTAGAGATGTGACCTCACCATGTTACCCAGGCTGGTTTCAAACTCCTGGCCTCCAGCGATCCTCCCACCTCAGCACCCTAAAGTATTGGGATTATAGGTGTGAGCCATTGTGCTTGGCCTCATGTATTATTACTTTTAAAAAAGGATGCATGTTTTCCCTCCCGTTCTCTTCTCTTTGGATAATTATAAATCATTAAACTTAATATTTCATAGTTTTAAAACAGGGTAAAGCCAAGATCAAAACTGGCTCCAAGGCCCAGACGCTTTTCCCAATACTATGCTGTCTCACAGAGTGTAGGTTATGTGAACCCTTGAGATTATTAATGACTTTATCCCTATTTTCCATTGTTCAGTTTTCCCCCTTTGTGTAATATCCTATTCCCAGGGCGTGAAAGGATTAATCAATACTTGAAAACAAACAAACAAAAAAACTATACCTTTGAACTATTTTAGGGCACTTTCTAAGGAAGTGTGTCTTTTGATTTTGATACCCAGAAATCTCCAGTGGAGGTATTCTCTGCCTTCCTTTTCTTTGCAGATGTTGAGCTGAGGATTGGAAATTTGGAGCTGCCTTGCAGTGTCGATTGTAAAGCAAAGAGTAATTCATATTAGGTTCTGTGACACTGAGTTACTTGGCTTTATAAAAATTTAGGTTGCTTATCAACACATTAACTTCTCCCTGCCATCTGCAAGCTGAACAGCCACTAGTTTCAGAAATAGACTATGCATAAATGTAATGCATTTAAATGGTTTGTACTGAATTTTTTAAAGCATCAGATATTACCTGTGGTTGGAAATCAAGGTGTCCTGCAGTTCTTTATTTTATTATGTATATTACTATAACCTTATACTCAGGTTGCACATTACTCCCTTAGCAGTATTGTGAGAAATAGTCTTTCATACAATGTGGGTAGATAGAAAATAATAGCTACCTGCATACCTGGCTACATGACCAAATAATCACAAATCTAATAGACCCTTATCCAAGAAGGCTTTATGCCTGAGAGATAAGCATCAGATAATCTGCAGAGATGAATGCAACTTATCTGGAATACAAAGAGAAAATTAGAACCAATAGCAATAATTTTATTAGATGCCAAAAAGTCCTTTGATGCAATTGAATGAGACTACTTGTATTATGTGTTCGGTAAATTTGGCTTTGGGGACAAATAGAACAGATAGCACAATTTATTTTCAACCCATTTATACGGTTTAAATAAATGGTTTACAATCTCCCTTTCCCTGCCTTATTGCTGAGGAAATAAGCAATAGGGGGAGGGAAGTAAGGGTGATGCCCATTTCTGATGTTACTCTTCAGACGACATTGAAGCTAGAAAATCACACATTTCCCAAGGGTATCTGAAGAATATTCATAAGGAGGTTCACAAGTTACCTAATATATGCCGATAATCTACTACTTTTGCTGAAAGCTCTAAAAGCATCTGTCCTGAAAACATTAAGAGTAATGTCAGAATTTGGAGTGGCTTCAAAGTCAGTGGGAGAGAACCAGAATACTATCTTGACAGAATAGTTTCTATTACTATTATTGTGTGACATGTAAAATAAACATTTTAAAAGAATTGTTATGAGATTCTCATTAGGGAATGATTAGACAATAAAGAAGACATTCTAAAATTAACCTGTAATTCAGTGCTAAACTTTTTTTTTGAAACAGGTTATTCTAAATCTAAGGAGGAAGAAAGTGTGGTAGAGCTTATATCCCTTTAAAATATAATTTGTTAACGATTAACTCCATACCTTTCTGAAACTTTTCACAAATGATAGAATAATTTCCTTA